GGGAAGGTAAGGTCTTTGGCGTGAAAGGCTTTGCGGGACGGGCTGAAGGCGTCCGGGTGGTAGGACCGCTTGTTGAGCAGGCCGATGACCTCGGCCGTGGCTAGCTTAGCGTCGAGTGCGAGGTTCTCGACGCGGAAGCCGCACGCTTCGTCGTGGAGTTGGACGCTAGCGGAGCCGGGGCCGGAGATGACGCTGTCCGCGGACGTGAGGACGAGCCGCGAGTCGCGCGCGTGGTTGGACTGGCCCGTGATGTGAGTGCCGAGGACGCGCTCGTACTTGGCACTCGGGTAGTACGAGTGGCCCGTGCGGTCGCCGTCCGCGTCGACCTTCGGCGGCCGCCGCCGGTCGCTCGTCGCGGCGGCCTCGGCCGCGGCGTCGGCCTTGGCCTTGGCTTCGGCCGGCATGGCCCACAGCGGCGTCAGCTCCTCCTCGCCGGATTGGCTCCGGGATTTGCACCAAAATCGATCGTCGCGCTCGTCGTAGACGACGCCGATGACCTTGAGGGGCTTGCCCGCGAGCATGCCCGCCTCGACCTTGTGCTCGAAGCCGAGCAACTCGCGGAGCACGGCCTGCTTGAGCGTGCGGCGCCGCGCCTCCTCGCTGAGCACGGCCTGCTCGAGCGCGTAGCGCCGCGCCTCCTCGCGGCGCCGCTCGCGGTTCGCGTGCCTGGCGTCTTTGGCGACGGCGGCGGCGGCGGCGCGGTCCGCGCGCTTGAGGAGCTTCTCGCGCTCGTTGGCCGCGGCCAAAGCCCCCGGCAGGTCCGCGGCCGGAAGCGCGGCGACGGCCGTGGCGTCGAAGCCGTGCGCCTTGAGCGCGGCGCGCGCCTCGGCCTCGGCCTTGGCGTCGGCCTTGGCCGCGTCCACGTCCCACTGGGCCTTGGCGCCGTCGTCGAGCGCCTTCCAGCCCGCGTACAGCGCCTTCTCGACGAGCGCCTTCTTCTCCTTGTCGCTCGCGTCCGCGTGGTCGCGCTTGACGGCGGCCTTGGCCTCGGAGCGCGTCTCCGTGAAGTAGAACTGCTTGCCGCTGAGCTGCTTCGTGACGACCTCGGCCGCGTCCGCGTCCCACTGGGCCTTGGCGCCGTCGTCGAGCGCCTTCCAGCCCGCGCGGAGCGCCTTCTCGACGAGCGCCTGCTGCTCCTTGTCGCTCGCGTCCGCGTGGTCGCGCTTGACGGCGGCCTTGGCCTCGGAGCGCGTCTCCGTGAAGTAGAACTTCTTGCCCTCCGTGACGACCTCGGCCTCGGGCGCGTCCGCGTCCCACTGGGCCTTGGCGCCGTCGTCGA